AGAGAGAGAGAGAGAGAGAGAGAGAGAGAGAGAGAGAGAAAGAACATGCTCCGTGGTTGAGTTGGCCTTGAGAAGTGTGAGAAGCATAAGAGCCTGACCTTCAGGGCTCACAAAGGAAGGAACTTCCTTTTTATTTAATTTTTTAATTTTTATTTTTATTTTAAACGTTATTTTAATTGTTGAATTTATTTATTGATTTTATATTTATGCCAGGGTGTCTCCAGATTTTTATGTATTTCTATAGCTATTTATTTGTATTGGAAGCCGCCCCGAGGCTTTTGTGAATGGAGCGGCATATAAGTGTTCCAAACAAACAAACAAACAAACAAACAAACTTTTTGCTTGATGTCATAATGGGCAGCAAAGTGTATTGTGGGTAGTTGCACTTCCTTTGCGATTTCAATTTCTGTGCCAGTTTCACTGCAGGGCATAAACCCCAACCTTCAGAAAAGATAACAAAGGAGTTAGAACATTAGCAGTTCTGTATTATTAAAAACCTCACTGCAGAATAACCACTACATCCTTCTGAACTCTAGAGGCTTGAGTTGGATGTAATTCAAACACTTCCATGCTGAACTGTTGCCCAGAGGGAAGCTTTCCTCTTCTGTAGACAAGCCAAGAATATGGGCCTCTTACAGCTCATGGGCAAGATTTGCCATGCTATTAAATTAGTAAAATCTCAACCCTGTGTCCATGTATTTACAAAAGCAAGGGCCCCTTAGAAGTAAAGGAAGAGAAGCTCTCCCTGTGGTGAAATCCTACTTATGGGAGAAGAGTCCAGAAAAATTCTGAAAAAAGGTGTTATTCTGGAAAACACAATCCAACTATTTTTTTTCAGAAAATTGGGGGAAGGAGATATATTTTTCCTCACATTTTCCAGGATTTTTCCTCCGGTTCTTCACATGACTACTTGCAAGACTTGGGACCTCTTAACCAACCCATCTTTGGTTCTGTTTCTCTCCAGGTGATGGGCGCTATTCCTTGCTGGGCCAGCCTCTGCAGTATAATCTCTCCATTTGCCCCCCACCTCTGTTGCACAACCAGTCCAGCTATACAGCACACCAGGTGAGAGAGGACATAGTAGAGTCTCAGGTGGAAGGAGTGTTTTCCTCTGCATAGTAGGCCAGGTTGGAGATAAAGCATACCAAAGCATCATGGTTCCCTTCATAGTTGAGTGTGCTGCTGCAGTAAGCCAGAGGCTTTCAAAGCAGTCCCAGCTATGTACACAGTTGCCCCTGCCCCTGCCCCTGCCCCTTCATTGTAAAATCTTGAGGGAGGAGACGCACTGAAAGATTGCAGCTGAAAGAACCAGCCAGATTTTCCTCTCGAGAATTCTGCTTAGCTCTCTCTCTCCTGGCAAGCCATTTGTAGGATCATATGATTTTAAACACGGTTCTGCGCTTGAGCAGTCATCCTGCCTGAAAGTGTGGTTAGAGTGTTGAATTGGGATCCAAGAGATCCGTGTTCTAGTACCCATTTGGTCACAAAACTCACTGGGTGACTGTGCCAGTTGGGGCCCTCAGCCCTCTAGCTCACAGTGTAGGTTGAGAGGAAGAGATGGCTTATATAAGCCGCCTTGAATTCCTTGAAGGAGGAAAGGTAGGATATAAATATGATAAATAAATAAAAACAAGTAAATGCCAGTGAGAGTGGGACCAGCCATAGCCTTGTGGACTAGGAGCCAGAATTCCCAGGTCTCTTCACGTGAACCTTCCTAGGTGGTTTTAGCTGTTCATTTGCCATGTGGGAATAATACTAATGCCACGGGGTGCTTTTTTATACAACTGGAGGGGTGGCTGAGATAATATGCATGAACTGCTTTGCATACTTCAATGCACTGTACAAATACTTGGTGTAATTCATTGCAAAGGCTGAACTGAAAGTGTGACTGCATGCTGAATTGCAACCTAAGAGCTTTTGCAAAAATGGCCCATGAAACGTGACACTTCCACCGCTTGGAATCTTGTGGTGGCCCCTTCTCTGTTCAGCTTGCCTTTTGTAGGCCTTTTTCACCTCAGGTGCCTTTTCTTTCTCTCTACACTGTGGATGGCAAAACTGAGGTCATATGCTGCTCTGGGTTCCTGAGCTCGTGCCTCAGCAGTCTGCTTGCTACTTGTGTCACAATGTGGCTGTAAGTCAGGTGTGAGTGATGGGAACTCTGATCAAAAGCACCCTCCAAATTGGGCAGGGCATGGAGCCCAAGGGAAAGTTTGCAGCTGGTTAACTATGTAGGGTTTGGGCTCAGGGTTAGTTAGAATAGCAAACATAATCAGGGATGAAGCAAGGGGGAACTGCCAGTCTTCCTCATGTAGAAGAACGAAAGAGAAGACAGAATTGAGGTGTTAAATATGGAACTGTGGGGCATTTCCACTGCTACAGTGTGTAACTCAGATTTTTTAATTATTATTATTGATGAGTAGTCCTTTACATCCCACCTTTTCCCCATGCTAGAGCCCATGGAAGGATCCACAGGGCACTCACTCTCCCATCCTGACACTGACCAGACTTTGCTTAAGCAAGGTTGCTGCTTCAGGGAGCTAGTTGGTATTAACTCTCTTGGCAGAAAAGGAGTGATTATGCTTTCTAGGACCTGGAAATGCTGCTTTCCAGGTCCTGGCACTGGTCAGATTAAATACCAGGGGTGATGCCTGGGTGAGTGTGGCAGTGCCCTGTGATATCACTCTTTTGCTCTTCTGTCACAGGGACAAACAGGGATGAAGCATGGCAATCGAAGCAAGAAGCAGGCTCTTAAGTCGGCTTCTACGGACCTTGGAACAAGTGATGTAGGCAAGTGACAAATGTTTGCACACCTGTTACACACCCATTCCACTCACTGTCCCCTTTCTAAAGTGTTCTTTCTCTTTGCCTTGTGCCAGTGTAAATGGAGCAAATGCGAAATCTGGGAGAGGGATTGGGAAGGGTGCTGTCGTCCCCACACATTGATGTGGCAGGGCCATACCCATCTTCCCTACCTTCCGACCAGTTGGAAATAATGGGAAATCCATGTAGCATTCTTGCCTGGGAGGGAGTCCACTGCCTCTGAAGGGCTGGCTAGCTGAAGGGGTTGGGTCTAAGCGGGGAATAATGTGTGAAGCTCCTACTTACTTGCAGGGAGGAGTCATGCCTTACCTTTGCCAGAACCATTTCCCAGGTTAGGAGCATTTGTTCTAGATCTAGTTAGGGTTCGGCGAGGAAGACCACTCTTTATGCGTTCAAATGATTTGTGGGTTTCATTTCCCCTTTCGACCCTGCTGCCTCAGCCCTAGATTAGAATGAGTATAGGGTTGGGTACCTCCTTGGTCTTTGGCCTGTGTCAAGACTAAAAAGCACCCCTTTGCCCAGAAGGATGGCAGTTTCACCTTGGCCTATCACTTTCTTACAGAGCCAAGGCAACCAAAGCCATCACAGATCATACCTGTGGATACCATGGCAATGAAGCAAACTCTGGTTTCTCAGAGTGCACACCTCATTTTAATAGAACCTGCAGAGAATATGATGCCATCCAGCAAGCTTTAAAATGCAGAAGTCCAGGACTCTATTTCTTTGCTTGCTTCTATTAATTTCTGGAGGAAGTTTTCCATGGCAGAGTGTCCCTTGACAGAATCCCATTTATGTAAAACTGGTGGTAGCATTGGACAGGAGGAGCACTCCAATCAGCATTGGGTGGCTGGAAACTGCCAGCTTAACATCCCATGGTAACCCTGATGCAGCCTTACTACCATTTTCTTAAGCTTTATGTATTTAGGCTTTCCTGGAAGAAGGATTGGTAATTGGTGTAGAGCTGGGGAGCCTGCATTCTTTAAACTAGTATCCCTGAACATTTCACTCTTAACCAGCACCCTCTCTTATGATCATATAGCCCAGCCTGCTACTCCCTCCACTCCTCCATTTTTTCATTTGGATAATATATGGAGATCAGTGCTCACTGTGAATATTTGTGTCATTTCACATGTGCAATTATAACAGGCCTTGTGCATTCTTGACAAAGAAGTGGCTACTGGAGACATGCTTGTGATGGCTGGCTTGCAAACCTGTTGCAACAAAGAGCAGAACTGCCTCCCCACACAGAGTTTGCACAGAAGGCCAACAAATGGTGCTGACTTGGACTGGTCAATCTCTCCCTGCTGTTGTTAGTAATATGAACTACGCTGAAGCTGGCTAATTAGATTTGGGCAGGACACACTACATTGGCATTGAAACTCCGCATGCCCGCAAACGAGGAATGTTGGAAATGTCCCGTAAACAAACAGTGCAGAGATGTCCTGCTGTTCCTTTAAGAGTTGCTTTAAAATCACGAAACCTTTCTACCCATCCCCCTCCAGTGGAAAATAGCCTGGGGTGGGCCTGCTATATTTGTTGCATGCCTATTTAATATTAGCAAAGCATTTCACTTGCCAGGACCCAGCACTGCCGCTAACTGGAAACTAGACCTGCTGTGCTGCTCCTTACTTGAGGCACAGATCCAAAGCTACTGCCAAGGCACATCCCTGGCTGTGGTGCGTAGTTCCCTCTGCCTGGGAAGCCACCAAATTGGCTGGCAATGTTCTTTTCTGCTGAGAGCAATGCTGCCAGGCGGGGCTGGGCGAGACCAAGCGGGGAGAGGCAGCTGCTTTACTCGTCTCGTCTGATCAGTGGTAGGCTCATCAAGAATTGAAACACAGGACTTTTCCTTGGGTCGCATCTTCACTAGGAGAGTTCAGAGGAAGAAGTTGGGACCACATGGCTGTCACTGGCACCAGCCCATGGACCTGAGCTGGAGAAGTAGTAGGGGATGTGTAATTAGTGGTCAGGGGCCAGCTACGTGTACATCAGCAAAATGGCAAGGAAGATAATGGGCCTTGCTTGACCTGAGGAATGAGCTGCTCATTGCCCCATGAGCTTTCATCCCAGTAGAAGTGGCAACAGAGGTCGCATTGCCAGTTTTATCTTTGGCATGTCAGAGAGCCTGAAACTAACACTGTCTTGCTCCCTAGATTCTGTTCCCTGGAGCCAGACGTCATGGGCTCTGGAGAAGACAGAGTTAGGTTCAGCCCTCAGTCCTCATCAACCAGCAGTACTGACTAGATGAGTGGTGGCTCCAGCCTAAAAGACCTGGGACCTGGCCATAGCTTGTCCTTTGGCACATTGGCTGAAGCAGATGCCAGGACTTCCAGGCTCAGTCACCCACCTTCCAGCATCCTGTCTTAGTTGCAGCTGAGGATACTACTGACAGCCTTCTCTCTCTTTCTCCTCCCCCCCACCCCCGCTCCCTGTGCCACCTCCAACAGTGTTGGGTCGTGTCCTGGAGGTAACTGACCTGCCTGAGGGCATCACGCGTACAGAGGCTGACAAGCTCTTCACCCAACTCGCCATGTCTGGTGCCAAAATCCAGTGGCTCAAAGAGACTCAGGGGCGTCCTGGGGGCGGTGGCGACAACAACCACGGGACTGCAGAGAACGGCAGGCATACTGACCTTGCTGCCTTATACACCATCGTGGCCGTCTTCCCCAGCCCCTTGGCAGCCCAGAACGCCTCCTTGCGTCTCAACAACTCTCTTAGCTGCTTCAAGTTGCGTATGGCCAAAAAGAACTATGACCTGCGTGTGCTGGAGCGCGCCAGCTCTCAATAGGGGCAAGTGGAGGAGAGGGGGCAACAAGCACACTGGACTGGCCTCTCTGGCCCCCTCTCAGCCCCTTGCCCTTCTGCCTCCCCCTCCTTTGTTTCCACAGGCACCCTGTCTTCTTTTTTTTAAAATTTTGGTGGGGGAGGGGGGATCTTTCTGGAGATATTTATATGGACAGAATGAAGAGATACATTGATTTTTTTTTTGTTCTTTTGGTTTTCTGTTTTTATTTTATTTTACTTTTTGTGTGAAAGAACATGTCCCACCCCTTACCCCCTCTCTGAAACACGTGAATATTGTTTTTGTTCAGCGTTGTGCCGCGGTACGGAGCCGTATTTAATTGCACATACAGATGTTGGCTGGGTATGTTCACTGTACATTTTATTTAATCTGGGTTTATTATTATTATTAATAATATTATTATTATTTGGTTTTTAAATATAAAAAATCGTCTGTCACTTTAAAGCTGCTTCCTCCCTGCCTCTTTCTCCACTCAGATGTTGTGAAAGTGAAGCCCATCAAAGGTGGGCAAGATTTCCTTTCCTTCTTCCAAGCTGGGTGCTGTTGGGATATGGCCTCGGGTGAAGCAGATGGCTTCAATATTAAGCTGATATTTAATTCCTGGATATTGGAATGGCAGGGGAGTAAATATTGGTGCAAGTTGGGTGCAATACTTCTGAAGGGCCTTCCTTTCCTTTGGTTCTGGCCACTGCAACGTCATGTTTGCAGTAACATCAAGTTTTCACATCTTGTTTACAACACAGTTTGAACAGACAAACCATGTTATTGGGAAATGAAAGAGGTTGCTTCTGATCTCCTGTTGCTGGATACATCAAACAAACATAGGAGAGCACATGTAGCATTCAGCTGTAGTTTAGTACAGCTTTGCATGCGTCGGACAGCTGCTCCCAGCATTCCCAGCCAGTGGCCATGTTGGCTGAGAATTATGGGTGTTGTAGCATCACCCTTCCTGAATTTCAGGAAGTATCACATCCAACTGCAGCCAGTATTTACCAAGGACCCCTCCCCCAAGTAATGTATTATCTCAAAACATGCATGAGCTTAAGTGTGTGTCCTTCCAAAAACATCATTGAGGACAATATCATTCCATTAACCTTGTTCCAAATCTTTATTAGCCAAATAGGTATTTAACAAGCAGTAATTTGGCAGCTCCTAAAAGATAATTTTCTCTAGTCTTTACTTTAACGTATTCATTTAGAGAACTAATATGTTGCGAACTACTTGAGGCTACCATGTTTTTAAAGAGTCTTGTGACTTAACTTGAAAACATGGTTAAATTTAGGCCAACTTAACCATGTTGTGCATTTCCTTTTCCCCTTTTGAATCACTGACTGTTGCTAGCGGAATGGGAAGATGACAGAAGTAGCCAAGGATGGCAAAACTTAAAGCAGGAGTGGGGAGCAAATTTTGACTCATAGTCCACCTTTCTTCTGGGGAAGGACCTCAAGGACCCCATGCCAGCAGTGGGCAACCCATGTGCCCCTTTCCATACATGCACATTTCATTTACATATCTCCCCCAAATCCAGGCACACACCTGTGTACATATGCATGCACACATGCGTGCATGAACACACAGATGCATATGCCCAGGAAGGTGGCTCTGTATGTCCTTCATTAGCTTCTGCCCTGAGGAAATTTCAGGAGATCCTCGAGTCAGCTCCATTCACCCCTTGTTCTTGAGGTTGCATGCAACTAGCTTCCTTGGAAGCTGGCCCTTTAGGGTGTGCCAGGCAAGGAGCCAGGTCTGTGCACACCTTGCCTTTCCCAATGGGCAAAATCATGTGGTGGCTCCCAAGGAAGCCAGTTTCACATGCCCCTTGTCTTTCTTCAGAGCAGTTCAGTGTTTTTTCAACAATCAAGTCTTCTAACAGTCTCTGAATGGAATGCTGCTGGAGAAATTGATGATGCAGCATTGAAACACTCCAAAGAAGAGAAGATTAAAGGTAATGGGGCATGACTTCATAAAGGGGGCATTTCCAAGGGAAGCCGGATGGGGGCTGGATTGGAGAGCCTCACAGCCGGATTGAGCATTATCCCATTGCTGCTTTGAGAGGTGGGAGAACTCAAAAAAGGCCTGCTGTTTTTGGCAGCACCCGTTTTCCAAGAGTAACTAGTTAATCTTCAACCAGCCAATACTACCATTTCTGAACTTTCTCCCCACAAAGACAGATTTGTATCTTTAACTTTGCTAAAGAAGATGTCAGTCTGATTTTGCAAGCTAGGGAACTAAGTACTATTAAAGATGTTTATTTTTCAGCAAGAACAGAAATTCAGAGACAACAAGCAGGTTCAGTATTTGGTACAAAAGGAATCTTTGCCTGCTAGGAAAGAAGTTATGAACCTGAAGCTTCAGTGAGTTAGGTTTAGGGGACCAAATATCTTTTCTCAATGCCAAGGATCAAACCTGGAACAAGTGATGGAATGCTACAGAAGAATACTCCTGACAATACACAGCTAATCCCAAGAGTCATCACACACATAGGTAAGAGATTTCAAGCTGGAGGGACTATGACATCTAGGGGCTGTGACATGCAACTCTTAATTTTTAAAATTAAAACTAGATAAAACATATAAATGAGGTACATTTGAAATATGGGATTTTAGAAAACTGTAATCAGTTCCACAGATTAGACAATATTTACATGTACTTAAAAACATGCACAGACCTAGGCTTTATCCTCTTTCCTCACAGAGGTTATTCTGATTTAATCAGAAGATACCAAAGAAGTGAATTGAATCCCTCTTGACTAGAGTGGTGCTATTTGACCCATTCTCTCCACATTATGTTCTCTTCCAAATCTGTAAGGTGCACATTCCCAGTGCAGTATACTTTGTCTTAACCTTTTCACATCTGTGCTCATGTTTATGTATATTTTGTGCTTTGAACAAACAAACCAAGTTGTGTGGCAAATAGCTTTTGATTTTGTATAAAATGTACAATCTATAATCAAATGGCATAGTTAATTCTGCTGGCCTTGGAGGAGGCCCAGTCCTATGTGAAGATAACTGGAGCCCTACCTATCAACAACAGGAACTCTCGCTTCGTACCTACCTTTGAGAGTTTCCCAGGTATTGCTGTAGTGCTAAAGCGACTAGCAGTGCCAACCTGTCAATGTCTGCTCAGAAGGAACTGCCAGTGAATTCAGTGAGATCTACTCCCATATAAGTGGGTATAGGATTGCAGCCTTGGCAGCTAAAAGCTGGAGCTATGCTCCACTAGCTATTCTCCAGATTAAGTAGATAATTCTGGTGTAAGAATTGGAAGTACTTGGCACATAAGAAGCTGTCCTATAGCAGGCCAAGACTGGTTGAAGGCAGCTTCCTATGTTATAGGTGCTCTGATCCTTCTTTGGGCTTCACAGGTGAAATTCAAGGAAAACCCCATAAGGTCAAGTCTGGTGCTAGAGAAAACTTTAGCTGCCCTGATCCTTGAAGCAGGTTGATCTTTATGTTTTTCTTTAAAGTTCTAATTTGGTGCCCTCCAGATAATTTTGGACTACAACTCCCAAAATTCCCTGTCATTGCCTGTGCTAACTGGGAATGATGGAATTTGTAGTCCAGCTCATCTGGGAGGCATCATAACCAAAGAGACATCCACTTCAACGGGTGGCTGTCAACCAGCAGGGATGTATTACTGGGACTAACCCTGAGAAGGAGAGAGTACTGCTCTGAATACTTTGGGCCCATTTTTTCTGGAATCAGTAATGAACATTGGTGCCTTGCATGCAGACCCAAGGTGGAACTTGCAAACCCAGACAGGTTCTTATTTTCAATTACAGTGGCTTCAGAACCTGCAGGAGTGGGACAGGAGAAATGGAAAGCAATCTTGTCAATGGTATTTTGTTATTGGGCATTTGATCATGGATGAAAAAGTAAATCTGGCAGGTTCTTGTGTAGTTTCCACGCTCCTGAGTCTCTCTGCTGATAAATCTTGACCTGAGCCATTCTGATGAGGTGCTAATTTGCAGCATTAAGTTAGTGGGGCCCTGCATCTTGGGCCTTGATTTCTCTTTCAGGCGTCATGAGCAAATGGATCTTTGTTTTGCCTCATCTGCATGCCAGTATCTGGACAATGCCCGCCCCTTCTCTGTCCCGGGTAAGTTGGCTGAGCTGCTGCATTGATGTCTCAGACAGTTTGGCCCACAATTCATGTTCAAGCTGCTACCTAGTGTCCAATTTCTCTGTGTCAGCCCTCCCAATGGAGGGCAGCTGTCTTTTCCCCTCTTGTCCTGTCACTTCAGTTGTGGTGCTGGGACAGCAAACTTTTGCATGTTAGGTTCTGGGAAGGGGAAAAGTCTTTATCCACTGTATGGATCTCTAAAGTGACACAGCAGGCACTCTGGGGCTGTAGGGGATTGCCTGATAGGCTCAGGATTTAATCTGCAGAGAGTGTGAACCCATATTCTTGAAGGTAAGTGTGTGTATATAAAATACATTTATACTGGGATTGATATCTTTATACCTTGCCAGACTTCACTGCCATCAGCTACTGTTTTCTTGCGGGGATATAAGTGTCTTTTCTTGGATTTGACACTTGAGAAACATAGCAAATATCTCTTTGTTTTCCTCCTGCTGTCTTTAAGCGGTTGACTTTCTGTGTTAGACAAATATATCAGTTTCTTTCTGGAGGCTTAGAATGGCAGAAATTCCTCTTCTGACAGTGACTAGGGAAAGAACTAGTGTGCACAGGAATCTGTGTACATATTTTTGCAGTAATGTTGTAAAATTGAAGGTTCATCACTTCCTGAAGAGTGTTCAGTTTTGCAGCACAGGAGCCCAGCTTCCGCAGATAGGCAAAGGAACGGCCCCGGCTACCTCCCAAGCTCTTGTTATTTGGAAAGGAAGGAGGTGAGGGCTGTTTGTGGCCCATACGTGAGCCATGAAGCGGTGAAATGCAGGCCTGGCCTAACCACTTAAAACGCGAGGAACATTTTGTCCCTGGGGAAACGGCTGTTTTCAGTTGTTGAATGTGAGAGGCTGAGTTTTGTAAAAGAGCAATGCTGGTGACCATCTCGCGTTTTGTGCCAGGAGGCTGTTCCTTGCCTCCATGCCAACCTAGTAAACGTGTTGCTTATTTGAGCGGCTAGTAATTAAACCTCCAGGAATCGGAGCCTGATGGCTGCTCTTTGACCACTGCTGGGGCTTCGGATCCATGTGTAGACCTGGAGACTCCAGAGCCAGCTACACACTGGAAACCCCAAATGCTTTTGTGCTGAGGGGCTGCGAGTGACATGGCTGAGGGCAGGCTTGTTTGTGGTTGGCCACTCCCTGGGTCGTTCATACAGATCTGGAAGCTGGGAATGCTAAGCAGGGGAAAAGGGGTCTTGTCCCAGGCCAAGAATTTCTTCCTGGTTTCATGTTGGGGGCTAAGTCCTTCTGTTAAGGATTTTGGAAACGTCTGGAAAGTTGTTCTGCCAATTAGTTTCAAAGGGTCAGATGAGTTAGGAACGTATGTTTGTACTCATACCCACAAAGTGATTTGTGAACAGGGCTCACTGAAAGCATCATCAGAAGGTTTTCAATAACAGGGCTTAAATATCTGGAGTGATCATAAAGAAAAAACACCTCTGAGCATGTGTAGAGTTCACTGAGTAATCTTGGCATATGCCTTCACAACCAGGATTAAGGAGCAGATTTTTCCAGATGATCTTCCCGGGAAGTTAATGAAAATGAAGCACTTACACTGTTTCAGTGCTGGAATCCATTTTATCTCACCAAATACTAATCCCATAGTAGATAATCTCTTGTTTAGTATACTAGTTCCTTGCAAGAACTATTTGCCCCCTATCCTTTTCTCTAACATAACTGAATTCTGGGAAGCTAATGGGGAAACAGTGAATTTCTGTTCTGACTCGCTCAATCAAATAAACCCCCATGGGACATTTTACACAGATTTCGTAATGCTTATGTTGTCCTCTAAGGGTATTTTATTGCAGATTAAAACTAGTTTAATGATCTTAGGAACCCTTGGGAATTGTGTGGGTTGGCAAGCGATGTCTGATTTTCAGCATTCTGACCAAACTACAATTCCCAGGATCCCTCCCTCCCCCTCCCTCTCTCTCTCTGAGAGGGAGGGAGGGAGGAAGTCATTAACAGTTATGCCCAATATAAATCCATGGTATAACTACGGCCTTGCTGAATGAACTCCTGGGGCTAGTTAGGAAACCCTTTTAAAAATGCATTTTAGAAATGGATACATTCAGTTTCTAAAGTCACAACGCCAAAGTGGATTGGTTCCTTTTTTCATGCATGAACTGGCCTACCCTTTTTACCAGCCTGAATTGAGAATAAACCAAGAGACTTAATCAGGGATAACTAATCTGTATTAGGAGCCCTAGGAAAAGAGGTAGTTTTGAGTCTACATGCAATTTTTAAGACAAATATGAGGGACTCTGTAAATGTTTCTGAGCAAAGATGATAAGGTAACTCTTTTTTAATTCTACTCTTGGCCATTGCTTGCTGGATTGTCTTGGAATGGCAAAAATACAGTGAATGTGCAAGTTAACAGCGATGGCACAGAGGGGCATTGTCTGTTCCATTGAAAAGAAATTACTGCATTTGCTTTCCCCCAGAGATGGCTGCAGTGTGGTAAAAACGAACAGTTAAAAGCCTAGACGTCCCTCCTCCCTATGAGTGAGATGACCTGTTTGGGAAATATGACCCTTGTCAGCAACTTTTTATTGCCAGTGCACCAATTTTAACCATTTTCATAAGCCATGCTTAAGTTAGTTTTAGACATTGCCAGGGTCTTATTTGAATGAAAAGCTTCCTTTGATGGGATGAATCACGCTGATTCCTATGATTGACTTCATGTGCTCTGTTCCAGACTCAAAGGTGGCCTTAGTGTTACCAGTGAAGAAGTCATTTAAAGGGGGTGCAGGGTGCTTGCCTTAGCAGCCCCACTACCAAGGACTACCAGCTCCTCTTACCACCATTCTTGCCCTCTCTTTGTGCCCTGCACAACACAAATTAGAATCAGAAGTGTTCAAAGGATCGCATTTCTATCAGATTTCTCTGGCTTCCATTTCAAGCTGTTCATCTGCTTGAGGAAGCAGAAATGGGCATGTGTGGAAGAGAGAATGTACTTATTTATTTATTCAATTTATATGCCCCTCCACTAGGGATAGGTTCTCTAGGTGGCTTACAACACGATAAATTGCAACAACAAAAAACTATACAAACATAATATAACATTTGCTACAAAGACCAATAATAATAATAATAATAATAATAATAATAATAATAATAATAATGTTAACAGAATTAAAAACCAAAATAGGAAAAGAATAGAATTAATAAATACTATTAATTCTATTAATAAATAGAATTAAATATATATATATATATTCTCAGAAATAATGTATAAACCATTAAAATAAAGAATAAATATCTCTCCTTTACAATCATGTCCCATTGCCAGCAGCATAAAATAACATTATTAATACCTAAAAATTAATCTGCTACAATAACTGCTAAACAGATATGTCTTTAGTTGGTGCCTAAAAGCTGAAAGAGTCAGTGCCAACAAGTCTTCAAGTGGGATTGAATTCCAAAGTTGGGGTGCTATGCTGGAAAAGGCCCTCCTACTTGCAGATTCCCCCCTCACTTTGTGAGGGGAGGAACACAGAGGAGGGCTTCAGATGAAGAACACAGTGAATGGGCTGGTAGATATGAAAGAGGTGCTCCCTCAGATAACCTGGCCCCAAACCGTTTAGGCCTTCATATGTTCTTGTGAGCACTTTGAATTGGGTCCAGACAGCAACCGGCAGCCAGTGTGACCTGTGTAGGACAGGCATGATATGCTCACATATGCTGGTCTTTGTTAGCAGGCGTGCTGACTGATTTTGGATAAGTTGCAAGGTCTGGACTGTTTTCAAAGACAGCCCCACGTAGAGTTCATTACAGTAATCCAAGCAGGTGGTTACCTGCACATGGATGAGCAGAACCTTTCCATGGTTATCCAAGTAGAGACACAGCTGATAAATCAGCCAAAGCTGATAAAAAGCTCTCCTGGAAACCTGGGCAACAAGTGATATCTCGGGATCCAGGAGTACTCCAAGACTGAAAACCTTATCCTTTAGTGGGAGCACAAAAATTCCCCATTTGAACAGATGGACTCCCCAACAACAGTACCTCCATCTTATCTGGATTCCACCTCAGGTTATTGGCCCGCATCCAGTCCATTACTGAGCTCAGACAAATTTAGAACTGCCTCCGCCTCACCTGGGAATGATGAAAATGAGAGGTGGAGCTGGGTGTCATCAGCATACTGATGTCATTCAGAGGTTTGAGCTGAAGTGTCATCTCCCAGCAGTTTCATTAGATGTTAAAAAACATGGGGACAAAATAGAGCCCTGCAGAATTCCATGGCACAAAGGCCATGGCGCAGAGCAATAGTCCCCTGGCAACACCATCTGGAGACAGACAGGTAGGAGCAGAGTACATACATATGTATGCATTATATATATATCCTGCCATTTATCCTTTCAAGGAACTCAAGGCAGCTTATATAATTCTCCTCCTCCTCTTCACCTTACTCACTCAACAATAGCCCTGTGAGCTAGGGTGGGCTGAATGTCTGTGATGGGCCAAGGCTGAGCAGGGACTAGAACCCAAATCTCCTGAGTTTCAGTCCCACTCTCTTAACCACCACACAACACTGACTCTCTAACAAGAGCATTCTGAAGAGTTTCCTTCTTCCGCCTTCTCAAGTTATTCTGCATTCATCCTTTTCTCTCACCCCTTGGGTCTTCTTAAAAGAAAGGACCAGAAGTTTCACACTGGGGACCAAATCTTACCCTCCTGGGTACTTCAGATGGCTACATCCCTTTTCCTTGAAACACTGAACATTGGGTCACCTCCCACTTCTGTGTCATTTCCCCCATTCTGGACAGTTGAAATGCTTTTTTAAGGCTTAGTTACTGGCAAGAAGAGCATTAATCCAAAGTACGCGGGTATATAGCTCTCTTTCCCTTTGGTCCTGCCCCTTTCACCTTCAGCTCCACCCAATGTGGAATGTGCCCCTCAAAAACTTTTCCAGAAGAGAAGTTGGCCCTGGGCTGAAAAAGAATATGTACCCCTATTTCACAACGTTGACTTTCTGACTCGGAAGGCTATAGGAGAGAGGGAAAATGTGGCTCCCAGAGGCAGGAACTTTCTTCCCTATATAGGCCCCAAGCAGTTTGCCAGAAGGAAGGTCAGTGACTGACACAGCACAAGTTCCACTCATGCACCGTTCTCATTGAGCCTGGGGGCTGCCAGTTGCTGAGCCCTTACGATCCACTTAGCTCCTTTTTGTGGCATGTCAAGTAATATGTTGTGGGAATCACAGAGCATACCAAACTGTGGGCATTGTAAAAATGCCTACAGTACCTTTTTCTAGGTAGCGCACAGAGACATTGAAATGACCCCTGCTGCAGAAGTGAAGCCTTTTGTTACGCTGGATGACCAGATGTTGCCCAGAACTGGACAATCGTCTCCAAGGTGGTTGAGATGGTCCTATGTGAGGTGCAGCACTGATTGACTCCCATAAGGAACCAAAATACCGTCTCTGCCTGTCCAGTCCCATGCTATACCAGGCTGGAGCTAGCTCTTTGCCAGGTAAAAGCTCTGCTAAAGCCATCTTCACTCTCCAGCAAGACATTTTGTGCTACTTTGACTGGGATAGAATGCAGAGCTTTTTATTTTCTTCCTAGGTTAGACTAGGGTCCAGTTTCTATAATCAGGAGAATCAGGTGGGCTTGACCCCTTCAGGCTCAAGGCTGTAGTTTCACTTGCTTATAGAAGGTAGAGCATTCAGACTTTCTACACACAAGTGACTAGTACTTCAGGAGAATAATACTAAGGTAGATTCTTCCCTCAACTGCCAGGTGCTTTGGTGCAATGTTTTGGCCTCATACCACCACTGTAATGGGGGAATATTAAATCATCACAACCCCTCCACTTACATCCTGATACCTAACAGTTCAAGGGAACCATTGCCATTGGACTCTGCCAAATTGTATATCAACTAGTCCTCATGATCTGTCTAGCTCCAGGGGTTCCCAGAATTCTTTCTTTATGGCAGGGATGTGCCAGTTGTGGAATTCCAGGTCCAGCATCTCAGGTGAACCTTTTGTCATCAAAACCATGAGCTATGGAACTACTGGCAAAGTAGAGAAAGGCCTTCTCCTTAATCTTGTGGGACTTGAGTTATGATTATTCACCAGTGAGTAAGGTTACTCATTCATAAACTTCATAAACTGCTCATCTTATGGAAGCTCTGTATTAGAGAAAGAGAGAGAGCTTATGGACAGAGCCTTGTGAGCTCATTCTCTCAAGATACTAAATATAGTGAGAATGATTTCAGTTTTTAAAAAGTGTGTGTTGGAAGGATGAAGGCATTTGGATGTGGCAGAGTAAGTACTTAAATGATTGAGTTGTTTTGCAGAATTCCAACAGAGTTTTGTTTTGAATAGTTTCACTCCAAAACCAGAAATTGCAAAGGCTCTATGCATACCACAGACATCAATAATTTGTCTGCGAGCTCATATTGATTCAATAAAATGATGCAACAAGATACTCATGATAGTATGCTATAGTCCTGATTATATAATGCAGCCCATTGAGGCCCCATCTGTCTTGTCAGTTCAAGAGCAGTAGTACTAGTGGGGTGGAAGGCATTCTCCACATGCTCAAAGGTGCTCTTTCCACATGTGTCAAGGATAAGCTCTGATGCTGAACTCTTGTTCTCAGATGAGCCTTAAAGCACTGCCAGCCCAAGAACTGGCATTTTCTTCACCAGGCTTTTATCCTGCCTGTGACATCATTCCACCCTTCCATCCCTGGAATTTCATGGATTGGACAGCTGGTGGAAGTGTCTAGATGTTTGTGATTTCCCACAGTAGAGATCTACAGAATATGAGGGCACATGTGGTTTAAGCCCGAGGGATCTTGCCTGATGCACACCCCTTAAATAGATGCTGTGCGTACCACTCCTGTCCTCCTGGACCCTGGCTCATACCCCATTGGCTTTGTTTATTTTTATTTTTATCTTTGTATCCGCTCTCTTCTCTGTGCAGTATGACAGAAAAAGAGATATTAGAGCCACCTGCATCACCCACGTCTGAAGGGGGTAAACCCTCGGAAGGGGTAAGTGCTGTTGTTGGTTAAATCGGGAGGGTGACTCCTAATTCCTGCACAATCAGCCACAGGGTCTGTCTGGAGAAGCGTGGTCTTTCTCCAGAACATCCTAGGATGCCAGAACCTTCCGACTGTGGCCTGTTTGGCTGTGGTGGTTGCAACCAATCAGATTGGGAAATACTCTTCCACATGCCTGCTTGCTAGTGAAGCCAAGTGGAACCCTTCCCAATAAGAACCATCCCTCTGCTTCCCTGCATCCCCAAGACTTTCTGATCGCTGTCACATTTCACAAGCACGGAGGACCGCCTCCTCCTCGGGGTGTCTCCTGAAGGTTAGGGTCGCCATTGGGCCAACTTGTCCAGCTTTACATTTGCACAAAGTTTTCTGTTATGGCCACGATCCAAAGAAATTACTCCGAGTCTCTTGCTCAATGGGCTTTTCAAAAAACAGCAAAGATACATGTTTTCTTGAACAGAAAGCCATGCTATAACCCTTATAAACTAGTGCATGGGTTGCCAGCAAGCCTGAATAGTGAAATAAACCTGCCTAGGTTTGTCCCCCCTCCTTTCTGTACAGATGGAGGACTTGCTATTTCCCCCCACAGTAAAAGCTACACATTGGAATTGGTTGACACACTTTTTGAGTAAAAGCTAAGAAGAGGGATGGCTTCAGAGTAATTTCTGGCAGCTGTGAGGATGTTTCTTCCTTCAGTGCACATCCCCTTTGTACTTCATAGGACCATGGAAAGCTGAATTTTATTAAGCCAGAGCTAGTTTTGCCCACTGTGGGCCCATGTAGCCCAGTGTTGCCAACACTGATGCAGTTCAGGATGATGGGAAAATGAGGAAAGCTTGTGCTTCATCAGTATTCTCCAACCAAGAAGCATGGTCTCCTTGTTCCCAGTACCAAATGCAAGCTTTTGTTGATACTGTTTGAATAGGAATTATGTGCATTTGGGTTCATCTTTTCTTCAAGTGCTAACATATATGTATACTTTCCCCTCACTCTGCAAGACATGCATCTGAAAGTGTCCATTTGTTTTATTTCATAGATTTTTATATACCCCTGAACATACTGAAAAATATCCCTAAATGGGCCAGAGAATTCATTATAGTGGACCTTAAAATACATAGTGTTAAAATGTTAATTTGAAACATTAATAAAAGCCTTGAAATCATTTAAAGCAACACTGCAATCGCAAGCAAGCCTACTGAGCAGCACATTTGCTCAGGGAAGTCCTGGGTAAAGAAAAGGGAACAACATGTTTCCATTGAACACATCTGCTGCTACTTGGGAAGTTGTGTCCGACCCTTTGTGACCCCATGGACAACACTCCTCCAGGCATTCCTGTCCTCCATCATCCCCCGAAGTCCACTTAAGCTCACACCAACTGCTTCAGTGACTTCATCTAGCCACCTTATTCTCTGCCATCCCCTTCTTTTGCCGTCAATTGTTCCCGGCATCAGGCTCTTCTCCAGGGAGTCCTTCCTTCTCATTAGGTGGCCAAAGTATTTGAGTTTCCTCTTCAGTATCTGAGCAGTCAGGGTTGATCTCCTCTAGGACTGACCGGTTTGATCGCCTTGTGGTCCAAGGGACTCACAGGAGTCTCCGCCAGCACCACAATTCAAAGCCCTCAATTCTCCGGTGCTCACCTTCCTTATGGTCCAATTTTCACAGCCATACATTGCAAGTTGAACACATATGCAAAGGCAATTGCAAGCGTGAAATGTACAAGCATTGCCTGAAAAATGTGCTTGTGGGTGCGACCTGGGCAAGGCATGGTTAAAAAAGCAAGATTTTCAAGCATCCCAGCAGCAGCTCTTGACTTTTCCCAGCCTTCCAGGGAACCATCAGGGATCAAATCTGCAACCTTCTATATACAAAGCATATGCTTTACCTCTGAGCTATGGCCCTTGTCCATGGCTGTGCTTTTGGGGAACACAAAGTAGAACACATTGTAAAATGCCTTACAGCATTAACCACAAGGCTAGGCTGACTGAATCACAGAGTTAGAGGAGGACTGGTTGGCTATCTAGTCCGATTTCCCCTGTTCAGTGGGGGAACTCAGTCCTGGAGCTGTCTAGCCTGTACTTTAAGACTTCCTATGAGGAATACTCCACCCTCCCTCTAGGAGGCTTCCGTGATCACATTGCTTGTACCATCAAGACATTTCTCCTAATGTTCACCTGAAATTTGCCCTTCTGTATCTTAATGCCATTAGATGTAGTCCCACTGTCTGGGATGGCAGAAAACACATACTTGCCCTCCTGCATAACAGCCCTTCAGGCTGCCCCCTCAGTTGTCCGGGCTGGTTGGGCACTAACCTTTCCACACTGGAACCAGAATTTTTTGAATCAGCAGTTTGCCAACCCTGCCTTTCACAAATTGCACAAAAAAGCCCCCTTTTGCTTCACATGGGGTGGCCAATAACGCATGGAGGATTGCTGTTCAAGAAACACCAAGCCCCCTTTAGGTGGGCAAAACCAGCTGTTTGGGTTTGTTTTGGATCCTGGTCTAAATTGGCAAGGCATGCTGGGCATTTTGCAACTAGGAGGTCAAAGTTCTGCTTTACTGAGGGGAATATATTGTTACAGCGATGCATATGCATATATTCAAGCGGCATAATTCCCCAGAAGTTGCTGGAATGTCAAGCAGGTTGCTGGAATTTGGAGGCATTGGCAGAGACAAAATAAGTTGGGGCACGTGAACACATAATGATCTGCAAGTCTAAAAGGAAGCTCACACGAAGAAAGTGTGTTACTTTCTTGGCAGCTTGAAGGTGGCAGCTTGAAAATTTTCTCTGTGAGGTTTCCCCTTGGGACATGAGCAAATGGAGGTGCTGGCCATTTGTGCCTACCTATGCCTACCTCCTTGCTGGGGGTGCTCATTGTATTTGAAGTCTTTTTTAGGTGGGAGTGGCTCATAGAAAGTGCTGGACTAAACAGTCCTATCCAGAATAATATTTTGACATTTTTGGTCACTAGTGACTTACTCTCACCTTTGCACGCCACTCAACTCCTAACCTTCAAATGTGGGACAGAAGCCCTTTTAGTGTGTGTGTATCTTAGACAAAGTACTTCTGTGACAAAAACCAGCAACACAATACTTTATAAGATCTTTATGAGCAATGGGGTTTGTCTTTGGAAGAGATCTTAAGAATTAGGACAAACTGTTCTGTGGGATCCCCAGAAGTTGTAGATGTTTGTGATGAGATACACAAATATATTTTTGGAACAGTTGGTCATATCTACCCCAAAGCCTACTGTTAAGCACTCCTTTCCCCTTCCTGAAGCAATGGTGATTCTAGCAGTAATGCTCAAGGGTTGTTTCTTATGCATAAGACAAACTGGAGACCTAAGTGGCTTTATAACACTTATTTTTATTTACATGCATAAAAGAAGGGTCTAGTGGAAGCAAATAAAAACAGGCTGCAAAACCACCATTCCTGAATCAGATTCCCAAAGCACCGCTATGCTACCACCAGCCTTTTGCCATCCTACTAAACTCTCAGCTCTGAACTCCTAATTCTGCCTTCTTCCAAATTCCAAGCTGCCTCTGCTTCTTGCATTGCACATATTCTGCTGTTGCATTCCGTGTCCATGTTGCATTCCGCAGGGGAAGGAGCATGTTCCAGCCATGAAGGGCACAAGTTTGTTGTGTTAAGCCCTCAACTGCTCACTAGTTGCCCAGAGTTAGGCCAACTCACGATACAATGACTTGAATTACCTACAGTGGTATCCAGAAGGTATTAGGCACTTGTGCAGAGCAGTGGACAGGGTGCTGGAATTTCACCCGCTAAGCCCTGACTTCTGCATTGGCATAGCCTTGTCATACAGCCTTAGGCAAATTGCTATCCACCCCATCTCCGTTCCACAGATGTCAAATGGGGACAATAGCAACCTGCTTTACAGAGTTGTTGCATCGCTTGAATAATCAAATCAGTCATTTTAAAGGAATATAGATGATGAGTCACAAAAAGATGGAAAATCAGAGGCATTGCAAGGGTAAAGCAGGACAAGGGGAGAGTTTTAGGAATGTACATTCACATTAGGAATATCCCTTTTCAATTCAGTCTGCTTGCTTGTCTTTGTTCATGACATAAACTTAGCAGATAGGAAATTCTATCTAAGAATGCAAAATACTCTACTCGCATTCTCTGCATCGCTTACAGCAAGCCCCACTGTATGCCAGGCGGTTATTATGCTAGACATGTTGCAATCTTGGGGCTCAGACCTGCATCAGTGTCTTGCTTGAGGCCAAACTAGCAAATGTGTTGGATAGGTAAGACTTGAGGAAGGGACCTGAACAAGAGTCTCAGCTTACACTTTTGCCACTTTGGCTAGCCAGCTGCACACATATTGAGCTTAAAATGTGCATAAACTTGGCTCACTATCAAGAAACTGTGACAGTGAATGTGCAGTGGCTTTGTTCCTTCTCTTCTCATTTACATCTTTCCTGAACATACAAGCGGGCCCATTCAGTGATGCGGGAAAATGCAGAAATAAGAAGACTGAGCTTTGCTTTCCCACAACAGTCTTCCACAGACTAAGATTTCTCTGCTCTTCATACTAGCCTACCTTCCAAAAGGGCCTCCATCTAGAGGTGTGGTCTCTGTTCCAATTTGTTCTGGAAAAATGTAGGGGACCAGATATGCTTTCAGATACAACATACTGGTTTTGCTATTCTACACATTCTGCTTGTTCTAATGTCTCGGAACAGCAAAGGGACTCTGCACTAGAAGAGAACCGCTCAAGATTGGCGTAAGGTTCTTCTTACTCTACTGAGCAGAGGTGGGCCACTTGGACATGCTTAGGTGGGCCACTTGGGCCACTTAGCTATGCTGCCCTACAACTTCCATGATCTCTCCCCATGGGCTGTGCTGATGAGTCACAGGCCAAAGCTTCCAGGGAGCCGTAAAGTGCTCATCCTTGTGGTGGAGGAGTTACCCATAGAATACAGCACATAGAAACAATCTAAACACTGCAGGATTTTCCACATTTCATTAAACTCCCAAATATCAGGATCCCAGGGGACTCTGTATGGACACAAATAAATATATGTGAAAGAGCGCAGGAGGATGAGTATTGGCTGGCTCTGTCCCCTGAGACATAAATTACCAAGTACAGCCTCAGGAAAGAGGTTGCATTTCAAGCATTGTTTTCTTTATGCTGACTCTGTGCTTTCCAGTGTCTTGCCATCTCAGGCATCCTCTGTAAGTGGCCCCGGCTGTCCTGCATGGCAGCAGAATCCACATCTGGTCTGGCGATGTGTCCTCCAGCCCTCCTGCCTTGCACAGACTGAACCAGTCAGGGTCAAGATGAACTTCAGCATACCTCTGGGATGAAATTACGTACTGGTTGCTGTGGGACTGACATTCAGAGCTGGTGGCACAGTTAGGGTGCGCACGAACACCCGTGGCATCTCTCCTGGCCCTTCTTTATGGGCTGAGCCCACCTTTTCCCCTGCCCAGCACGGTTGACACATTGACTAAACTGAACAATGACTACTCTGCAGTCAGTCTTTATGCTGCTGTTGTTATTATTGAATGGACCAGACTTAGCATGAGTTAGCTCTTTGCTTGATAGAAGAAAGCCTTCCAAACATGTACTTAACTGTGCTGCATCCATATTAGCTAGGGGGTCCATCCACTTCATTCCCCTAAGAGCGGACTACCCCACAGCGGGGTGGGGGTGGCAACTGTAGGTCTTTATCTCATGCTAGTGCAATCCATTAATGCAATGGTACATTTTGAAGTGAAGATGCATATCATAACAGTCCCCATAACCATGTCCCCCAGGAGACTCATTTCAATAATAATTTAAAAAGTCCTAGGAGTTGTGTTCTACCTGGAGCAGATCTTCTGCTAAGCTAATGGGTCTCAGTTACCAAAATACTTAACATTAGCACAGTGGTTAATACATTTGTTGCTTGAAAAAGACATTCTCTCCCAGATCTTGTGAAGTTTGCAGTTAAGCTCAGAGGGAATACGGAGTTCTGGGAGGGGTGGCCGATGGTTCCTATTAACAGGAAAGCACTGGCCCTTTATCCCTGCAAACTCTGCCTTCAGTGCACTCTGGCTCCCCCCTTGTTTTCTGCCTGTCTTCGTGCTGGTGAGGAAAGTTTGCCACCTATTGATTTGAGGTGATACTGCATGCTTTGAGCCCAGAAACACTATTAGTACTCCTTGATACAAATGGACCTTTGTTCTCTTAAATGCACATTTGCCATCTCTCCCTTACTAAGTATAAGCAGAAAATGTGCAAGGGAGTGCAGATTATTGATTTTGCAGAGTGCAAAATTATTGTTTTTGCTAACCAGTGCCATGCTCAGTTGGCTTCTTAACATGTTAGGTATAAATGCTTAAAATGAATGCAAGTGAAACAGGGCTGACTGAATCCTCTTGTAATACTAGAACCCAGGTTCATTCATACACAACTGGATAGCTGGAGATTCAGGAAAGATAAGGTAGTGCATCTTCACCCACTACATAGTTAAATTATGGAATTCACTTGCATGGGATATTGTGGTGGCCACCAATTTGGATGGTTTTAAAAAGAGATTGGACAAATTCATGGGGGAGAAGGTTCTCAGGGTTACTCATCCTGGTGGCTAAATGCTGCCTCCAGTATCAGAGGCAGTGTCTTGGGGAACACAGGCAGGAGGGTGCTGTTGCATTAAGGTCCTCCTCCTGGGATCCTGCAGGCAGCTGGCTGGCCATGTGTGAGCAGAATGCTGGGCATGATGGTCTGGTCCAGCAGGGCTTTTCTCATGTTCTTCAGCTCTTACATTCTTGCATACTTGCAAAAGGTGGTGAATGCACTCCTCTGGGAGCTTGACTGCAGAAATAATACACCATTGCACCTGATGCACATAACGCATCAGGGATATGTTGGCTACTTAAATTTGGGACTGCGGACTTTAAAGTATCAGCCAATCACAATCAGTATGGCTGCAATCTATTTGAGGCTGCCCTGGTTCTAGTGTATTGTACAAAGAGAGGAACATAAAATATTAGATAGTCTTTCCTTCTAACAATGAGTGGCACTTTTGTGTAAATTAAGATGCCTTTCAGTATCTGAAAAGAAGGGGGCAAAGTGCATTTTGGAAATTGGCATATGGACTTTAAATGTGATGGATCAAACAGTATAGAGCATAACTGCTAAGAAACGTTCTTTGTGAGGAAGCTCCCATGTCAAATCTATCACCATTGCCCCTTCTTCCTAAGTCTGCAACATGGGCATAATAATGCTGGCTTACCCAGCAGGCTTGTTAAATGGTTTGCTGAAATTATACATGCAAAATTTTTGAAACTGTATGACTGCTTCTTCACATAATTATTAACAATTTGTTGGTTACAAGGCAGGTGGTTAAATCAACTAATGAGAACACACACACACACACACACACACACACACACACACACACACAAGAACATCTTGATTGCTAGCCCTTCTTAAAATGCCATTGCATGGAAATCACTCCACAGTGCCAGCTGTTCTTTTGCTGTGGCTTCCCAGCTGGACCTGGTGCTTTTCAATGCTGCAGGCCTGCAACATCATTTCCTTCTGGTGGTTTGGAGAGAAAGCCTCTGTGCATGAACAGTGAGCTCTATGGTAGGGCCTCCATGCAGTTGCATGGCGGTTGCAGCGCTGCTTCTGTATGTTTGTTGGACTTTGGGAAGACACCCATTTTGCAGGCAGGCTGCTGGGGCGCTCTTCCCTGGTCCGTGCCACAGGGCCGCTGTAACTGTCTTGGGCGTTCCTCCGGGGCTGCTTTGCCTCCTTTTCGAGCTAGCCGCAGACAAGTTGGGCGCTTGCATGCCAATGGCACTGGTTCCTTGTTGGCATCTCCGAAGTGCTGATTGTACATGCCCCGCCCCTTGCCCCCACCCCGAACCCTCAGCTGCAGCGGCTAAAGCAGCTTTTCAAACGCAAGCCCAAGGAAGAGCCTGTCCCGGAAGAACCCCAGGCCAACGGGGAGCTGGTCAGCCCATCGGGTGGGCCAATCTACTACATCTATGAGGACGAGGAGGACGAGGAGGACGAGGAGCCTGAGCCACCTCCAGAGCCGGAAAAGCCAGTCAACGACAAACCTCACAAGTTCAAGGATCATTACTTCAAAAAGCCCAAGTTTTGCGACGTCTGCGCCCGCATGATTGTCCGTGAGTCTTGCCAGAGGGAAGTGAGGCTCCAAGGGAATTGTGGTGGTCAGGGGGCTACAGCCTCTGCCTTCCTGCAGAGCTCCTGGACTTTAGCCGTGGCCTGGCAGGTAGGAGTCCAGCTTGCCCTGTCAGTGCATCTCTGCCGAATTGCTGCAAGCCATGCAGCTGTTAGGGGAAACAAGTCCTGCCTGTAAGTTTAGTGTAAGGAGGAAGAGGTTGTGGAGGGAGATGGGGAAGCTGTGCAGGGGTGTGTGCCATTGGGAACACATTTAAGGGGCAGCAGGACACTAAGATGGAGAGGAAATGGGTCAAACATTATTTAGAATCTCTCACACACACATATGCACATGGCCTTATACACCTGTTTTCATATATGCCATTTCTCACACAAACCACACCCTCTCACATGCATGTTCACACCCTTTCTCCCACTTATTTGCTTGTGCACACACTCACACATCCCTCCACCTCTCTTGTGCAGAAGCAGAGAAAGCAAATGGCTGCCCAGGCGGTGGTTCTCAAGAAGCTGAGGCTCTCCCCACCCACCAAGTCTGCATTGTAGCAAGGAGGGAGGGATGCTAATGGCGATCTCTCCCTCCCTCCCTCCCTCCCTCCCTCACTCCCAACTCGGCAAGGGCTGAGGTGTGGGGGGGGGCCTGCGTGCAGCTCGATCCGACTGCCTTCTCTCTCCGTATCATTACATATCCCCATAATTCCAAAGCGAGTGAGTCATGCAGCTCTCCGAGGAGGTGGGGCCTTTAATATTAATTTGATTCGGGAAATAGGTCACTCCCTGATCTTTCTTTCCAGCCCTACTGATCTTGTTGCTTCCCTTTTCCTGATAGTGAGGTTGTGTGGTGGAAAGAATTGTCCTTGCTGACTGCCCAAAATGTCACTAGCCTGGCCAAAGTTTCAGTCTCTTGCACTGCTTCCAGAACAGGACATAAAACCAGACCAAACACCAAACCATCTCAGTGTGATGTTTTCATAGAGATTGCCATCCATTTCACACTAAAAGAAAAAAGCCTTTCCGAAAAGGGGAGCACTTTGCACATGTTCAGAGTGTGGATGAGCCTTTTGTCCCTTTTCGACATAGGTTTTTCATTGGCTTATTTCCAAAGGAAGCTCAGAGGCACCAGAATATTCAAAAGCACATACTGGCCAGCTCAGGGGCGAGTTACATGTAAGGTGACAATGCTGTGTCTGTGACTGTAGGTCTCCCCATGGCAAGCGCAAACGACCCCACTTCTGTGTAGAATGGAAACAGGGAGTGTAACCAGGCTGGGCCATAGTTGGCTATCAGAGGCAGGCTGAGAAAGCCCAAGGTCGGCCCCATAAACACACAGAAAAGCACCAACCTGGGAGGCCACCAAACCCAGCAAGCCTCCATTTATAGCCATTTCTGTCTGGGAGGACTCAGTAGCTTGCCTGCCTGAACAGGGCAAGCCCGAGAACACCTCTGGTTGCAAAACACAGTCTGCAGACTTCCCCATGTGGGGCAGCCCCACAGCGCCCTTCCAGTCCCAGGCCCTGGAGCTCCTGACAGAGGGATTGAAAAGTGCCGGGCGGGAGGGGAGGGGGGCATTTCTTTCCCAGTTTGGCCCTGATAGTGAAGTGAACCCAGCTCGGAGATTTATCAGCCTGTGAGGGAAAGCCGGGGGTGCAGGAGAAAAGTCCCTCTGGGGGCTTTGGAAGGCCGTCTCCAAGGGTAGGCATGGCTGGGCTGCCACTGCAGAGCCACACGCCAGTCGGGGCTCCCCAAAAAGAGCCCAGTGGGCTTGCTCTCCTGCCCCCTCTGCAACACGGTGGTTCTGCCTCTCGCTTTGGCTCAGGCAATGGTGGTGGTGGTGAGGAGGAGCAGGTGAGATCCTCACCATTCGCTGGCACTCTCAGGTAAAGGAGTAGGTGCAACAATGAGAAAGAGGCAGTGGAACAAGAGCAGCTGCTAGCGCGGGCAGCAACAAGCTGGACTCGCTGCCGGGCATCTTACCCAAGGGGCTCAAAGGGCTGGAGCTGGCATGGCCCTGCTTTCCATGTGATCAAGGCAAACTTACCTTAAAGACAAGAGCCTGATGGTGTGGTTTTATCCCCTAAAAAGTGGACGGAGCAGTTTGGGGAGGGTGCCTCACCTCAGCTACCCACTGACTGCCTCTCTTTCTGCTTTAGTCAACAACAAATACGGGCTGCGATGCAAGGACTGCAAAACTCACATCCATCATCACTGTCAAAGCTATGTGGAATTTCAACGCTGCTTTGGCAAGATTGTAAGTGCCCCGGTTGGCCTGAAATGCAAAATTTCTGCTCCCTGCTACTTGCTCTCCCTCACATGGTTTGCCTTGCTGTGGTCCTGATCTGCAAGTCCAGATCATATCAGTCAGCTTGTAAAGACAGGGAATGCTGAAGCCCAGAGAGATAAGATCTTCCCACAGAGGCAGGCTCATTTGAGAACAGAGGGCTCTCCCAGATTGCTTTATTAGGGAATATAGTAGGAGCTCTGTGAACAAGATACTGCAAATTACTGGGTAGCCACCATGCTTGCAGCTAGAATAAATTTAGCTAAAATGGGGGCAGTATTATGTGTTATAGTTAGATGCGCAGGTCCAGTAGATTCTTGAGTTCAGTTTCTGAAAAACAAAATGACTGGAGTATGGAATATTGCAAAATTCCCTTATTAAGAAGAATGGAAACCATTTCATTTTGTTCCAGAGTCATTAATGCCATAATCATGTGTTGATCAGTGGCGTGATTATGGATAAGAAAACTAGATTGGTGTTAATGTTAATACAGAACTGTAAACAGAGCTGTATTATATGCTACAGAGGATATCATACATTTGATCATGTCAACATCTGATCAGGAAATGTTGACACCCCCACCTCCACCAATACAAGCCAGTATTCATCATTAACCCATCTCACAGAAAGATTTTAAAATACTATAACACATTATATTCTCTCTCTCTCTCTCTCTCTCTCTCTCTCTCTCTCTCTCTCTCTCTCTCTCTCTCTCACACACACACACACACACACACACACACACACACACACACACGTATGAGTAGCAGTGAAAAAGGAACTCATAATTCCTTATTTGCATCTCCCTTTCAATAACTTAGGGAGATGGGCAACACTGAGTGGTAGGTCCCAATTCCTGCTGCATGCAGCCTCCATCCTTTGGTTTCTCCCAAGGCCAATGTGCCTTTAGCAAACATCTGGATAACAGGAACAACAGCTACGTAAGAACTTGCCCAAGCCCATCCCGGGGATCCATAGCACTGCAATGAATTATAACCAAGTCTTCAAGACTGAAGGGCCTCTTTGTGTATGAGGTTTTCTTTCTTTCTAGGTGGAAAGAACTTAAAAGTAGAAAATAATTTGTTCAATTGCTGTGCATGTCTATTTCAAATGTATACATCTCAGTACTTCTGTAGATGTTGGAAAGCTGCAAGTAAAGCACAAAGAACCCTACAAAATAGGAATGTGCATTCAGGGTAACCTCCATATGGATTGCATCATGTTCCCTATGTGGACATGATTAACCCAAGCCCCATTTATTTCAGTGGTTCTACTTTAAGGAAGGCTAACACAGAGTACTATAATTAGACATGAAAATCCTTTTCTTGATGCAGCCCTTTTCTTATCTTGAATTCAGTGCAGAGCTTTGTGTAAGTTTTTCCTTGGCTTCAGTTCGCTACTTGCAAAATGGGATTAATAGCAACCCAACTCAGAATGTTTTGTGGATGTCCAAGATAAGGATTTATACCACATTTATAAATGCAATATAATACTAATAAAGAATGTTCACACATTTCTAGAGTCCTATACAGATGGTGAATTGTTATTTTTCAAAAGTGCTGAAATATTCTACTGTGAACATTTTTGGCATGCTTTCGAGGGGACCAAAATAGTCCTCCAAAAACCCATATGTTTACTTTTTTAGTACTGTTGGCAGTTTGTAGTCATTGTTTTCACAGGCTTCAGCTGCGTTGGTGCCCATTTCCCTGTGATCTCTACTTCCTTGAATAATCTCTGGCAATCAGGGATCACAAAGTGAATATGATAGAGGTAACGTTTCTTCTTCTGGAACAGGTCACGTGGTTGAGCCTAACCAGCCAGGCTAGGCTCTGGGCAGCCCAGTGAAAGGAGCAGGGGTCATGGCGTGGGAACAATTTCATTTTTGGATCATGTTTTTTCTTACTGCTGCTCTGAGGAACAGCACCCTTCATGCAAACACCTCTCATCGATTCTCAGGTTCTTTTTGTTGTGACCTGCCATGAGTTAGTTGTTTGTTCAAGAAATGGGGATGGCACTGTACTTCTGCATCCCAGAAGCATTGTGCCTCCAGACCAGGTATGGGCAACCTCCTGAGGGTTTGGCTTAGAGCTCTTATCAGCCCTCACCAGCATAACCAATGGTGAGGGGTCATGGGAATTGTAGGCCAAAACATCTGGAGGGCAACGGCTTGCCTACCCCATTTCAGGATTTGCACCATTTTCACAGTGCCCTCTCCCACATCACCAAAAGGTGGTTTTCTTGCTTCATTTGATGGAAATAGTTGCAAAAAATGATCTCCTTGCTTTTCTGCTTTGGACCATTTTTAAAATATGCCTATCTGAGCCAGGGTAGAGGCAGTCTGCCAGGATAAGTGCTGATGGTGTTAGAAAAGCACAAGAATGGGTGTGGTCCATCTGGCTATATTCTTTGCTTGTGTATAACACTTGTGTTTTGCTGCAGCCCCCAGGTTTCCGCCGTGCTTACAGTTCTCCATTGTACAGTGCCCAACAACTCGCTGGTGGTGAGTAATCTCGCACTTCTGTCACTCGCATGCTGGACCTCCATCCGCACAGCAGCATCCTGATGACTTTCTTTGGGTCTTGTTCCACAGCCAATCGGAGTGATCCCGTGTTTGAGACGTTACGGACCGGTGTTATCATGGCAAACAAAGAGCGCAAAAAAGGGCAAGATGACAAAAAGAATGTAAGGGAGTTGGTGTGGGGGAAAGCCCTGACATAAAGGGTGGTGCATTTTTCTCTGGGGACATAACCATGGCATCGTCCCTCAGTGACAGCCAGGGAACAAGCTGCCAGGTTGGCGTGTTGCATTTAGAAATGAACTAGTTCTAAAATGGGTGTGGCTTGTCTCTGACTGTCGGTCATGATGGCTGGAGATGATGGGACTTGCAATAGCAACATCGAGAGGGTCACAGTTTCCCCACCCCCTTTTTAAGGGTGGATGCAACAAGTAATATTAATTAATTCTTCCTCTTGTCCCTCTGCACCCACTTCCCAATCCCTGGCTCCATGCTGCAACAGAAAGTTTGGGGAGCCTGTTCTTTGCATAGTGCCTTTTCCTGACCAGAATGGCTTGTTGCATGAAATGCACAGGGACTATGAAAATGGCAAAGGTGTGGTTTTCTTCCTAAGGTGTGGCTTACACCTTCCCAACTGTGATCTCCAGGTCGTAATGCCTGCTGAAGTGGTGACAGCCTTGGGTGCCAGTGGCAGAAAATCTTGGGATAGGTTGGGAATGGGTAACCCTGCTTCCCCAATCCCCTCTCTCGAGACCCGCAAGAACTACTGACAGATTGCTCATGTCCTCTTCATAGGAAGAAAGGGTGCATGCCAAGATAGGATCCACTGGTTTAACCAGTGCTCAGCAACAGATGTTGCATGCTTCTGCTCAGAAAGTCTTCTAACCACCCAGCAGAACCTCCTGGTGCCCTGCTTAGCTTTACATTACCCGAGTTCCTGTTGCTTTGCCCCATGGCTCCATCCAGTTGCTCAGCATGGCTTGTTGCCGGGAACCTGTGCCTTGTAGCCCCACCTAGATGGCTGAGTGCGGATGGGCCATGCAATTGCCAGCAGAGGATGCACTATATATATATCCCCCCACCCCTTCTGATGCATTTCCCTTCCTGCTTTCTAGCCATTGGCTGCTATGATGGAGGAGGAATCAGAGGTCCCTAAGCAAGAGACTGGCAAACCTGAGGCAGGTAGGTACCGTGCCTTGGACATTCTGCTCCCAGGAGTCTCTCCAGTCCGCAGTCCGGCTCAGTCAATGCCAAATTCATGCAGACCAATGATGCAAGAGGCAGGAGTCGTCAGGAGTGGGGAGGAATGGTTCAACACAAATGTCACTTTTCAGCTGCACTGTGCCTAATGAAAGATGCCTAATGGTAATGTCTGCTTGTCTGCAATGCTTTCATCCAAAGGAAGACAACCATTTAGTCGTTTCTTCCAAACTCTGAGCCAGTTCCTGAGTACCCTTTGGTTCAAAACTGTTCCATTTCCTTACCCCAGGTGGGCAACCCATGTAGATACTCTGCCTGGCAGCCATAGCCCACAGAGGGGTCATAAGAGCTGCAGGCCAAAACATCTGGAGGGTCACAAGTTGCCTGCTCCTGCCTTGCCCCCGTGACTATCAGCAGAGCAAGCTGTGCAAAACAAGCTAATACATGCAAACCCGCTGAGCATGATTCACCCAACTTTGCTTGGCACAGAATAGGGGTTACCTTCCCATAGCCCTCACCATTGCTTCTTGCCTGGCTTGTTGAATTCTTTGATGAATTCAACAAGTCAGGTTGAGTATCCTCAGGCAAGCAGGATACTCAGCAGGCCTTTGATTTTGTGTGAGTGGCTGATCAGTTCTGAAACACTACCACAGGAAGCAACCCCCAACCTGAGTTAGAACAATATTGGGTTCGAGAGAGAGGCTGTCTCCCCAACAGTTTTGGAGGCCGCTTGTGTCTGCCACAGTTTCCTTGGCTGTCTGACACAGCCATAAACACAGGGATAAGCTGCATCCTTCTTGCAGGACTGCCAAGGGGTAGTAAAACATTTGGCAGCCATTATTAGTTGGAGGATTAGTTGCAGCGTTTCACATAACTATGCGTAGGTGCCATGTTCCTCGAGTGCTTATTTATCCTTATCAAGAGTAGGAGGGAGGAGTCTTTGATGTAGCGATGCGTGAGGAACCCAATATGGAGGGGAAATCCCTCCCCATTTTCTCATCTCGGCCCTGCAGATTTGGTTCTTTGTCGTGGCTTCTGTGCATCACACATATGGGTTGCTGCACCTGCGCAGTGCCTAGGCCGGAAGATTAGAAAGCTAACGGTTTTTGGTGGGAAAACTCCCCTCCCCTCCCCCTTTGTGGTATAAATAGAGCGGAGTGTCCGCCATTTTGCTCAGTCTTTGCGACCGCCGTTCACTGTGCCTCATGCCTGTTCGTCTCCCGCTATAGATCTGTGCCTCTTTGTTGTTTTTTCTCAAAAAGTTTAAACTTCTCTTACTCCAAGTTTGTTCTTCTCCCCAATTCTGTCTGTTTTCTTCTTGAATTCTTTCTCTCTATATAAAAAAACAAAACAAAAATATTATTTTAGCCTCTATACTGTCCTCTTTTCTTCATTTTTCTGCGATGGCACAGCGGGCAGCATTCCGCAAATGTATTGAATGTGGATCTAAAATGTCGCCGGCTGATCCACATGATCTATGCCTCCTCTGCCTCGGCGAGGGGCATAGGACCGACAAGTGTGGTCATTGCTTGGCGTTTACCAAGCAGGCACGGAAAAATAGGGAGAATCGTCTCAGAAAGCTCCTATGGGATCAGGCATTAATGCAGTCCGACCAACTGCTCCTACGGCCTGCTTCCTCTTTGTCCGTGCCTCCTCAGCGCTCCTCCTCCACCGTGAGCGCTCTGGCGAAGCGTCCTTCCTCGACCTCTGCCGACCCTCCTCAGCATCCTTCGGACGAGGGCGCCGCTTCTATGGGGGCTCAGTCGCTGCCTTCTCCCCTGACTAAGAAACGGGAGAAGCACAAGCATACCAGTCTGGATAAAACTTCCACCCATAAGAAGTTGAGGAAGGAAAAGGTGGATAAGCCCGCTCGCAAGATCAAGAAACCTGACTGCCCAAAACAATGAGGCTCAGGTTCATCGGGCTTCTCAGTACCGACGGCTGCCACGGTACCGACCCCCTCAGGACCGGCTCTGCAACTTGTTATGCAGGTGACACCACCAGGATCCCCCAGGCCAACCACTCGGCCTGAGAGCTTGCCTCCCCAGCAACAGGAGGAGCCACTTCGGGAGTCCATCTCTGATGGTGAAATCAGAGACTCCCCGCTGAGGGAATGCTCACCAACACCCATGCCACTGACTGAATCTCATGTTGCCTCACCATTACCTCCTAGAGGTCGCAGCTGTTCATCCGAGCATCGAGATGAAAGTTGGTTGATTCCGGGATATGGTGCTCCCCCCGGATGGGGTGGGTACCAGCCATATCCCTATTTCCCTCGTGAGCAGAGATCACCATTGGTCCTGAGGGATGTGCCATCCACCTCCAGGCGTACGGAGACGAGGCGCCCAGCCTCCCCTGAAACCTCCTCCTCCTCCTCAAACGACGACCGGCCGCACTACGTGGAAGACTCCGAAGACTCGGAGGTCGACTCCACATCCCCTGATGTGGCTGTCGCATATCAAGTGCCTGCTTCACCCGACGACCCTCATGTCTCGTTCACAGAGCTCATGTCCCGCTTGGTTCGTTCGCTTGAAATCGAAGCCCATCAACAGCCAGGCCCTTCGACAGATCGCTTCTATGACGTCGTTCGGGGAGAGCAGTCCGCATCCATAGCTCTGCCGCTTATAACTACACTGCGCCAGGCTATGGTCCAACCCTGGGACCAACCGGCCCAACCACAAGCGACCTCCTGCAGATATGAGGCTATGTATAGAGTTCGGGACGATGACATTCCCTTCCTGCTCTGTCACCCAAAACCGAACTCTCTTGTGGTTGAATCCTCCCAGGGCAGGGAGTCCAGGGGACATACCGCTCCTCGGGACAAGGAAGGGAGGAAAATCGATATGCTTGCGCGCTGAGTCTATGCGGCCTCTGGACTCAGCGTGCACATATCGAACTATGAAGCGACACTGGCACGTTACCAGTACTTTATCATGCAGAAACTGGATAACGTCGTTTCCTCCCTTCCGGACCACCAAGCAGACCTTGCCAGGAAGCGATGCAGGTGGCGGTACAACAGCTGTCTACCGCTCGTCACCATGTAGACACCGATTCAAGGGCCCTCGTCAACGCCATATCGCTATGCCGACATGCGTGGCTGTGCAATTGTAATTTCTCCGATGAGATGAAGCGCAGAATCGAGGAAATGCCTTTTGATGGTACCGGTCTGTTCCACCAGAAGACTGACCGAAAATTAAAGGCGATTCATGAATCACGCCTGACCGCATGCCGCATGGAGCTCCCACAAAAACGTAAGTGGCAGTGGCCCCGGTCGTCCTACTGGAATCAACCATATTATCTGCGCCAGCAAAACTACCCTCGAACCCAACAATACCAACAATGGCAGCGTCGGAGGCCACAAGCACAACAGCGTTTTTCCCAAGGCTGTAGGCGATTCGATACCGATAAACGCCCACATTGATGGCTTGTGCGAACCATCCTCTCTATTCCAGCACCACCTTCCCTTCTCCCTTTTGGGGACCGGCTCCAGGGCCAACTCCCCATTTGGGAGTCCATTACATCTGATAGGTGGGTGTTATCTATTATCTCATTCGGATATAGGATAGAATTCGATGTTATCCCTCCTTCGAGTCCGATTTACTTCACACCTTCTTCGTTGGTGCTACGCGATGAAGTCTCACAGCTACTTCTCAAGGGAGCAATTCGAAAATTGTCCTGCTTGGAAGGATTGCATGGATTCTATTCCAGATATTTTACAGTCCCGAAAAGGGACGGTGGTCTCCGTCCGATCCTGGACTTACAAACTCTTAACAAGTACATCAAACCAAGGAAGTTCCGGATGACCACTTTACAGAACATTCTTCCGTTATTGAAAAGAGAGGATTGGTTCGCCTCACTGGATTTGAAGGATGCTTATTTTCATATTTCCATACATCCTTCACACAGATGCTTTCTACATTTTACTGTCGGATCCGACCTGTTCAAGTTTAACGTCCTACCCTTTGGCTTGGCCACAGCCCCTTGAGTCTTTACAAAGTGTATGGCACTGGTATGCGCACACTTGCGGACTCGCGGAGTACAGGTTTACCCATACTTAGACGACTGGCTGATCGTCTCGCAATCCGAACAAGCTCTCTTGTCTGATATACAAATGACCTGCGCTTTGCTCGATGCTCTCGGCCTCTGCATTAACCGTGACAAGTCGACCCTTATTCCCACGCAGGTCATCGATTTCATCGGGGCACGACTCAACTCGACACGGGAAAAAGCTTTCCTCCCACCGGAACATCAGAATGCTTTATGCAGCCATATTCATCGGATTTGATTACATGGAACGGTTCCAGCCTTGTCCATTCAGAGACTACTGGGGCATATGGCTGCTGCTATTGCCATTGTCCCGTATGCCAGGTTACGTATGCGACCCATTCAACTGTTCTTCAATGCTGTTTTTCAACCGCAACAAGATCCTGTCACCAAGAAGATTCGGATCCCACATGCAGCCCTTCACACTTTAACGTCGATCAGCACCCCGTTTCGACCACCTCGGCCAACGACAACTCTGTACACCAACGCATCCCTCCTGGGATGGGGTGCGGCATGTTCGGGACTTTGGGTCCAAGGTACTTGGAACCGACGAGAGGCGAGGAAACACATCAACTTCCTGGAACTTCTGGCAATTTTCAACGCCCTCAAGGCTTTTGAGACTGTGTTATGCCGTCAAATTGTCCAAATTGCATCAGACAATGTAGCGGCAGTTTTCTACATCAACAAGCAGGGGGGCACAAAATCTCCAGCCTTAGCATACGTATCGATGGACATTTGGGACTGGTGCATACCGAGGAACATCACGCTTATGGGGGTTCACCTGGCTGGAACCGACAACGTCGAAGCAGATACATTAAGCAGACAGATGTCGACAACCCACGAATGGGAGTTGGACAAACAACTTTGCGAGGGACTCTTCCGCCTGTGGGGTTATCCGGATGTGGACCTGTTTGCCACGCGACAGAACAGCTTGTGTG